ACTGATGTGGATGTTATCTAGTTGTATCCCTGGGAAAAGGTGAGCTTAGCTCCTACTCCACATCTTCCCTGGAAGTCCTCCTGTTAAGGGTAAGTTTGAAGACTCCTCATTCATTACAGTTTAACTGCATTTAAACTTCTTTCTTAAGGAAATCTATTGCTACCTAATGTGTTTTATCTGTCACATCCTTTATAGCTTAGCTCTGCTCAAACAGGAGGAACATTTTAGATGTCTTGTCCAACCCCTCTACTGCTTAGGTCTTTAACTAAAAGCATGAAGCGGATGAAATCAAATAATTGACTTCATTAATATGGTCATTAACATCATGTGATTAGAAAAACAAAAACAAATAAGTGGGTCTTGTCTCTAGATACGGGTAAAAGGTACTAAAAAATGGTTTGTCTCATGGACATTAATCATATAGGATTGAGAATACTGTGTATAGTTGCCATGGTATTTGGGCAAGTTAAAGTATAATATGACTGCAATACTTTAGATACTTTAAAATATGATCAGAGTGAGATTTCCTTTCTCAAACAATTATAGCAATAAGCAAAATTGCAAATAAATCAATAAATTTAAATAAAACCACAGATACTACAACTGTCAGCTCAGAGTTAATTGGCTAATAAAGATTGCTTTTACAAGAAGATAATGTTTGATTCATTCTGTTAAGCATATTTGTGAAGAAGCAAAACCACACTTGTGTGATTCATGAGCTCTTAGCATATCACCATTGTTTATTTTGCTATTCGGAGACAGTTCTTAAATGACTGTTGAAGCTTGATGACCCCATGTACGAACCATACACTTAATATAATCAAATAGATGAGAATAAATACGTATAAGGACAAACGCAAAAGAGGACAGGGGCATCCTTTTGATCTAACTCCAAAAAATAATATAGTAACCTCTGTAGAAACTGAAAGATTGGGTTGGAATATAAGATCGATGGGTCTGAGACTGAAAGGACTCTTCCAACTGCCTTTGACTTGAAATGAGGGACTTAGGGGAGAAGATAATTTTTAACTGCAAAATTCCCAGGGCCTGCTTCGATCTGTCAATAAACAATGTGATAATATTAATAACTTTAAGGACCAAAAAAACAAACTTACTCTGTGCCAGTACTATATTAGCTTTATATAAAGTGTTTTCTTTCATTTTCACTATTGCTGTGTGAAGTTAGGTGGCACTTGTATCGCCTTCAATTAAGTGATGAAAACATGGATTTGTTCTCATTAGTGTTTTTTTTTCACTTATTGTTCGCATTTTCTGTATCTTTTTGAATCTATTTTGGTAATTTTAATTTGTCTATGAAAACATCCATTTTGCCTAGTTTTGGACATTCATTAGATTAAAACAATTCATTTTAAACTCACATATAAAGTATCTATTTTCACTATTTTGTACTTTTCTCTTTTTACCTTATCAGTCTAGCAAGCAGCTTAACTATATTACTTGATTTTAAGGAAATCAGCTTCTAGTTTCTTGAAGTTCTTTCACTGGGTTTTTTCTTTCCAAGTGACTTTTATTTTATTTTTATTTAATTTTTTAATTGTTAAAAATTTAAATCCTATTCAGTTAACATATAGTGTAGTAATGATTTTAGGAGTAGATTTTAGTTATTCGTCGCTTACATTTAACACCCAGTTATCATTCCAACAAGTGCTGTTCACTGGGGGTCTTAAAATGTCTATTTATTGTTCTCTAATTTAATTAATTATAATTTGTGAATGTGGCCTGTAAGCTTTTGATGATTTAATACTTCTTGAGAAGTTCTGTATATCTTAATTAAAGGTTCATTTATTACAATAATTCTTCATAGTTCAAAAACAATGCATTCTTTCTATTTGATAGAAACTACAAAGGTTGTGGATTCCATTAGGTCCTATTTGATAACTGTGGTTTTCAAAACTCCTGTTAACGTTTTCATCAGTCTAAACTATATATTTCAGAGAGAACAGTTTAAAATCTATTACTATGATAAAGGGTAAAAATCTATCACTATGATGGAGTGTGTGATAAATTAAATGATTGCCTCTTAGTCATTTGCCCTATATTATTCCCATGGTTTTGTAGTTTTACAGGTCCTTTCATTGGGGCAGAGTGAACTTTTTTTTTTTTTTTTTTTTTTTTTTTTTTTTTTTTTTTTTTTTTTTTAGAGAGAGGGTGAGAGAGTCAGGAGAGGTATCAAGGGAAAGAGTCTTAAGGAAATTCCACATGTGGAGTCTAATCTGGGACTTGATCGCAAAGCCCTGAGATTCTAACCCGAGCCAAAATCAAGATTCAGTTACTCATCCAACTGAGCCATCCGTGTGTCCATCAGAGTGAACATTCTTGATTCTTTACTGACTTAACTAGCTTTAAATCATGTATTCTTAGCAGATTTTGTGGAAGTAGGGCACATAATGAGCTTACACAATTGGGCTTGCCTTTTACTTCTCTGTCATTTCCATGAGAAATGCTTCTCTTAGACAGCTGGCGTACCCAGAATGATCACATGTGGAGATCTGAATCAAGCCATCTTCAGAATGCAAACCCAGCTGGAATGGCAGCTTGTAGTAGAACTGCCAAACTGAATCCAACCTGAATCAGCTGATCTCCAGCTAAAATTCTACTTTTATACCTACTGTTTTCCTTTCATATTTTCCAAACATAGTGTCATTATTCTTACATCAATCATTTTAGGTGACCTTTCCAGCATATAATTTTACAGGTATGTTATCAGTTTTGTTATAGGTGTGACTATCACCAACCAGGTAAGTATATAAATGTTTTATTTTAAAATACATTAGATTTATAAAAAAAAAAAGTTGCAAAAAAATTTATATATTTCCCACCATACTCAGTTTTCCTTATAGTTAACATCTTACATTAATATGACGAATTTGTCACAATTAATGAAACAGTAAGTCCATACTTTGTTCAGATTTTGTGTATGTGTTTATCTAATGTTATTTCCTGTACCAGGATACAATCCAAGATACCACATTATAACTTTTTCTCCCCAATCTCCTTAATATCATCTTGCTGGGACAGCTTCCCAGATTTTTGTTTTTGATGACCCTTGAGATGTTTTGAAGAGTACTAGTCATGTGTTTTATAGAATGTCTTACAAGTTAGGGTTTTCTGATAGTTGTTTTCAACTATTATATTGGAGTTATGGGTTTTATTATTTCTTTAATCTTTTTATTTATTTCTAGGGGAGAGAGAGAGCGTGAGCAGAGGAGGGTCAGAGAGAGAGAGAGGGAGACACAGACTGAAACAGACTCCAGGCTCTGAGCTGGCAGTCAGCACAGAGCCCGACGCGGGGCTCGAACCCACGAACTGAGAGATCATGACCTAAGCGAAAGTCGGACGCTTAACCGAATAAGCCACCCAGGCGCCCCTCTGGAGTTATGGGTTTTAAAGAGAAAGATCACAGAGGTTAACTGTCATGCTTATTGTATCACGTTAAGGGTAAATGCTATTAATTTCACTTACTTATGATGTTGAGTTAAATCACAAAGCTGAGAGAGTGTATGTCTGGTTCTCCACTGTAAAGTTATCTCTTTCTCCTCCTTTTCACACTTTACTTTTCTGAAGAAGATCACAATGCATAGACCATATATAAAGGCATTATGGTGTCTTAATTTCATCTTCTGGTGTAACAAAATAGCACAGTCATAGTGGCTTAAACCCACAAATTTGTGCTTTTATAGCTCTGAAGGTCAGAAATCTGAATGGGCCTAATGGGACTAAAATCCAGGTGTCAGCACAGCTGTATTTCTTCTTAAAGCTTTAGGGAAGAATCTATCTGTTTCCTTTTCCAGCGTCTAAAAGCAATTTGCCTTCCTTGGCTTTACACCTCTATTCCATCTTCAAAGCCAACAGTACAGCAACTTTCAGTCTTTCTCTGCATTTCTGACTTCTCCTTACATTGTTACATCTCCTTCTTTGGCCCTTCTGCCTCCTTCCTTTATAAAGGAAATCACCTTGTGATTATATTGGGCCCATTCAGAGAATACAAAATTATTATCCCATCTCAACATGCTTAACTCAATCATTCTGCAGAGTTACTTTTTGCCATGTAAATAACGTTTCTACGTAATAGAATAGAACACAATAAAAAGTTTCTACAATTAGAATGCGGAGAGAGGTGTTACCTGTCACACACACTGTTGACCACAAAGAGTTACTTGTTTATAATTTTTTAATAAAAATGTTTCAAGTCATTCAATATTTATATTTCTGTTCCAACCATATCCCATTAAAACTCTCCCATTCTTAGATTCTTACTGTTTAGAGTTTTAATTTTGCTAGCTTGCTGAACACACACACACAAAAGTTGTTATTTATATAATCAATAGGTGGCTAAATTTTCTGAAATAATATGCCAATTTCTAAAGCAGTGTGCTATTTTATTCCTTCCTCTTGTAGGTTCATTTTCATACTTGCTAGCAATATTTTTAATAGTTTGCTGTGTCACAGTGTATAAAAAATAATCTTATTTTTCTATCAGAAAATGTCATTATTTTATATTCATCTTTGATAATAGTTTATGTATGAATTTGAAGTTGATCAATACTTTCCATTATTATTTAAAAATATTATTTGACTATTGTCTTCGAGTTCATAAGGAAAATTCTGTCACCAAATTATTTTTCATTTATAAGCAATTTATTTTTCTCTCAGAATTTTCTATCTGAGAATTCTCTCTTATTTTCTTGTATCTTATCACCATGAGAATTCTCCATTGATTCCTTGCTTCTTTGTATCTTCAGAATAGGGTCCTTGGGTGTGTTGATTTAAGTTTACTCTTCTAAGTTATTGGAGTGTACTTTCTATCTGGAAACAGGTCTTAAGTACTGGAAATTTCTCTGTAATTACTTTTTCATATATTCCTTCTAATGCATTGCTTTTGATTTTTTATTCTAGAACTCTTACACGATGCATATTATCATCTTTTACTTTATCCTCTTTGCAAGATACTTTTATTTTCTTTAAATTTTGATGTTGAAGATGTTATTAGACCAGATGATGCCATAGGAGGCTCCTTAATTTCTCTCTTCCCATAGAGGCACTGAATGCAAAGCTGTAAATAGAGTAAGTCCATGTGAGAGAAATCCAGATTGACTTGAGTGCCTCTTATCCATTAGACAACTGAGAAAATACCATGTTGAAGTGTATAGGAAAGGATGAGACATACTCTCATGACAAACCCCATCAATGTCACATACGTAATCAAGAGAAAACCCCTAACTCCTGGCTTTTCCCTGGGGAGCTCGGGGTTTGGACCTCATATCCACCACCTCAGGTTTTAAGGCTCCCACCTTAGGGATGAGCCCCTAAGAACTCCCACCTCTGAAAGATTAAAGGGCTTGTTCTCATGAGTCCCACAAGACTACAGCAAACAAAGAAGCAGTTGTAAACAGTAACAGGAGCATATCCCACAGCTATGCACTAGCCTCAGAGCACAAGGAATAGGCAAAGTTGCCTATTTCCCAGTTTCTTTCTAGAAAGGGTTCGACTGTGCACTTCCTCAGGTACTGAGGCCCAGTTTCTAATTAGCCTCCATGTAGGCACTAGGATCCTCTCTATGTGATACCTCAATTACTGGGAGCCATTAAGAACACTACAAAAAGAGGTAAATTGTGCCATCAAATGCCTAAGATAGAGATTAGCATAAAAATGTAGAGCTTTCCATATGTGTTCACAGTTATTATTATCAGCTGAAAATTGACTGTTATGTCCATAAGGTATTTTATGTGCTCATCATGGTAATAACAAAGCAAATCTTTATAGTAGATTCACAAAAGAGGGGAAAAAAAATCAAATCACACAGAAAATCATCAAATAACAAAGAAAGAGAATGAGGAGGTAAGAATAGCAAAACAAAACAAAATAAAAACAAACTAAAAACTAAAAACAATAACAAAATGGTGTAGTAAATCCATACCTATTGTTAACTATTTAAATGTAAAATGGTCTAAGTTCTCCCCCTAAAAAACTCCACATTAAATTGCTAAGCAGATTTTAAAAAGTCTCAACAAAGCACTGGGTGTTATATGTAAACCTACTTGACAATAAACTATAACGAGAAAAAAGTCTCAATGTACACTTAAAGTGAAGAGATTTAAAAATATATGCAATGCAATTGGAAACCAAAAGAAAACAGTGGTAGCTATAGTACATTAGACAAAACAAACTATAATCCCAAGACTGTTAATAGCAAAAGGAGGTCATTATATAATAATAAGGGTTAATTGATCAAGAAAATGTAACTATTGTAATATTTATGAAACTCAATATCAGAGCACGTAAATATATTAAGCATAATATTAATAGATTTGAAGGAAGAAATAGCAGTCATAGCAGGGAACTTCAATACCCTACTTTCAACAATGGATAAGTTACAGAAAATCAATATGGTGACATTGAACTTAAAGCACAGTTAGATCAGATAGATCTAACAGACATGTATAGAACATTCTATCCAATAACATCTGAATATACATTTTCTTAAACATACATGTAAATTCTCTAGGATAAGTTATGTGTTAGGCCACCATGTAAGCATCTTTTCCAACCAAACTAGGATGAAATTAAAAATCAATTACAAGAAGAAAACTGGAAAACTCACAAGTATATAGAGATCAAACAGCATGTTCTTGAGCAACCAATGGGTCAAAGAAGAAAACAAAAGGAAAATAGAAAAAAAAAACTTTAGGTAAATGCAAATGGAAACACAATATAGCAAAATTTATGGGATGCAGCAAATTTGGCCCAAAAAGGAATTGTTTTTTTTTTAATTATTTACTAAAGATATTTTTCCTGGTTTAATAAATGTTTCCCTTGTTATCTATTAATTCTAAGAACTTAAAAAGTAGTGTTCTGAATAGTATGTCCAAATATGGTGTATGATGTCTCCAGAATTCAAAATGCACCTCCTCAAATATATGGCTTTTTTTGTAGTGTGTGGCATAAAATACACCAAAATTTACCTCACTTTAGAAAAAGACACACTTTTCCCAAGACCATTGGATTCCTAGGATTTTCTTCAATATGGCAAACCAGATACCTTGCAAAATTTATCCTCCTTCTGGCATGTAAGTGTTTTATTAAGGCTTCTAGATTGCGTGCTACTTCTGGTTTATGAAGAACATATAGCTAAATATAAGTACTCTACTGTATAGCCACATGTTTTCTGGGACAATATTATTCCAGAGATATTATTTCTGGGGTAATATTATGAAGCATTTTCCAGGCAATATTGTGATAGAAGAGTTATAATAACTGAAACAATGCAAGTATTAAACTGCTTTTGTTAGGTAAAGACAAACTGCTTGTGATTATCTTTCTTATATAAATGGAGGTGAAGGGATTATTTAGGTCAATAGTTGCAGATACCTAAATAGAAGGTGCCATGAGCTGCGTTAATTTGTTAGAGTTAAGAATACTTCATTTGTATTCACACCTGAGAATGACATAAGGATAAGACTACGTTTCCAGTAATTTATGGTTATTATCCATCTACTCTTTGTACTGGCCAAAATATGGTACTAGTGGAAATATGATAGGAATCATCCATGAATCTTTCTCTACTATCTGTATTTCTAACAGAATTGTGATACTATTATTATCTTACTTCCTTGACCAAAAACAGTAGTAAAGAATTTTCCACTTGGGCTTGATTCCAAAAATCAAGAATCCTATTACAAATGTTTTCTGTTTTGGGGACACATGGGTAGCTCAGTTGGTTAAGCGGCCAACTTTGGCCTAACACACACTGTCTCTCTCAAAAATAAATAAACATTAAAGAAAAATAAATGTTTTCTGTGTTTAAGTGTAACTTTTTCCATAGTACTTTGGAAGACTGGAAAACAAAAGAAAACAAAACTCTAAAAAGGGTCTCTGTTCCCACTGAATTAATTCATTATGAGGCAGACTTCTTACATATGTGGAATGCATAAGCCCCCATTATGACTAACAGAAAAAAACACTATTTTTCCCCAGGTACTCGTGTCAGACAGGAGCCAATTTTTGACTCTCATAAAAAATGCTTCAAAGAATATCTGTGTACAAATCTTTGTGTATATAAAAATTTTAATTTCTTTTGCATAAATATCTAAATATGAAATTGTTGGGTCTATGGTAAAATTAGATTGAAATTTTTAAGAAACTGTTAAATTGTTTTCCAAACTGGAACATAATTTTACATTCCCACTAGCAATGCACAAGTGTTTCAATTTCCTAACATTCTTACCACCACTTTCTATTGTTTACTTTTTTTTTAACTAAAGCTATCCTAGTGAGTGTGAGGTGGTATCTCATTGTGGTTTTGACATATTAATCACTAATGATGCCATGCATGATTTCATTTGCTTATTGGATATTTGTATATCTTGTTTCATAAAATTTTATACGATTCCTTTACCTTTTTTTAAAATTGGTCTGACTGTGTTTTGTTTTTGAATTGTAAGCACTTATCACAATATTCTCAACTCACAGGAAATCAGTGACTGGAAAAATTAGAATATTTATAATAGGATAGCTTATCACAGCAGAATTTCTTCACAACAATAAAAATTAAAAGTGAAGCTAGGATAAAAGTAAGGTTTCAGTGGTTCATGTGCTAGAAACATAATGAAAGATATTCACAGATAGGTAATTAATTAAATACTATTTGGTTGAATCAAAGAAATGTATTCAGAGAAAATGAACTTATTTAAGAATATGTCACTTTCAGTGAGAAGAGTTTCTTGGAGGGTTGAGAACACTGGGAGCAACACCAACTGTTAATTAGGACCAAACTACCGAATATAGTATTTTTCACATTTCTACAATGATCTGTGTTGATATGAAATATAAAACACAATCATTTCCACATAGAAAGTAAATGACCCTAAATTCTATAGTATCTCATACTTAGTAGTCACTAAATATTTGTTAAAAGTGAAAAGAAATGGGTAATGTATGGCATTGTTGAATCACTCTATTGTACACCCGAAAGTAATATAATACTGTATGTGAACTAACTGAAATTAAAATAAAAACTTAAAAAAGAAGAAGAAAAATGAAAAAAAAAAGCAAATAATTTTTTTTGTCTGTTTGCGTTTTGAAATCTACGGTTTGCACTTTGAAAACTACAAAGATGTAATTGTGCTCCTGCTCTGTTATTTATTCAGGGCGTTACTGCCAGGGATAAAGTGACTGAAAAATTAGATAACTATCCTGTATGAATAGTCTTCATGAACAATTATAGGCAAACACCTTTTAGAAGTTGGTAAAATACTAAATTAGTATAAACTGAAGTGAAATCTGCTAAGAAGCGTTAAAATTCATGGCAGTAAAAATATGTGTGGAATAGGAAAAAAAGAGACTTCCTTTGTATAAATTTCCAAAGATTATGAAAAATCAAGGTATTTAAAGTCCATAGTATTAATTGCATTATTTATTAGCAGATACTTTGAGGAGTTTTTAAAATATATGACTCTAGCATGTACAAGTAAGCTAGTGGTTTCAATGGCAAATGACATTCACACTTGTGTACTTAGTCATTGTTATTTCTGGGATTTTTTATTATAATAGAAGCTTAATATCCCTATTTGTCCTACAACACACCAGTTTTATGCTTTAGCATTGCTGAAGTTTTGTTTCAATGTATTGGGCTCAAGACCAAAATTGAAGTTCTTCTCAATTGGAAGAACCATTTTCAATGACTATTATTTAACACTGAATGATTTTTGGAAGTTAGATTTTGCTATATACTTGGAAATACTTCTTAGTGAATTTCATCTAAAATTGCAAGGTAAAATAACTGTTTACATTTGAAACATATTGTGGAAAAGTCATTTTGAGAATGACTGATTTTTGGGGCGCCTGGGTGGCTCAGTCGGCTCAAGTCATGATCTTACATTTCGTGGATTCCAGCCCCGCGTCGGGCTCTATGCTGACAGCTAGCTCAGAGCCCGGAGCCTGCTTTGGATTCTGTGTCTCCCTCTCTCTCTGATCCTTTCCTGTTCATGCTGTCTCTCTCTCTCTCTCTCAGAAATAAATAAAAAAAAACATTTAAAAATTTAAAAAAAAAGAATGACATGTTTGAATCACAAGTAATGTCAAGTGACTTAATATACTTTTTATCCTGTCAAAAGTTAAAATAAAGAGAAAGATCTCTGCTCCCACAAAAATCTGCAGTAATTATATTTTTTACATTACATGCTAACAGCGTTTTGGGGACCTCAGTGTAAGCACAAAGGAAATTTGGATATTTTGCAATCCATCTACCTGTGTAAATTGGGGAGCTTCTAAGCTTCAACTGGAATTGACTGATCTGCAATGTGATGACATGCTAAAGGGTATATTTCAGAAGAAAAATTGAATATAAATCTAGAAATGCCTTCCAACGGGTAAACATGCTCAGTTAAAACCATACGTTCTGGCGCCTGGGTGGCTCAGTTGGTTAAGCATCCAACTTCGGCTCAGGTTATGATCTCAGTGGGTTTGAGCCCCGTGTCGGGCTCTGTGCTGACAGCCAGCTCAGAGCTTGGAGCCTGTTTCAGATTCTGTGTCTCCCTCTACCTCTGACCCTCCCCTGCTCACTCTCTTTCTCCTCTCTCTCTCTCGGAAATAAATAAAAACATTAAAAAAACATACACTCATAAGCGGATAACAGAATTTAGTAGTATTTATTTATGAGAAAAGACACATTTGAAGATGACATATAAAATTTAATTATATCAGCATTAACAGAGGAAGCTGTGCAATCGATTTTGTTAATGAATACTGACTTTGAACACTAATTAAGAAAAAAAAAACTCCCCTAAACAATTCCATTCTTCTAGTAAATAAATATGTACTCCAAAAGCACATGTGATTTTTATTTTTATATTTTAAAATTATCAGTTAAAAGTTGTGGATTTTTTTTCTCTCTTGTTATAGTAAGATCTATATAACAGTCTTGATTTGCCTCTTAGGCCAACAAACCTACAATTATTTATCTGTCCCTTGACAGAAAATGTTGCTTTTTTCATGTGCAAAGAAAAAGAAGAAATGAGAAAATACATGTCTATTTGCAGTGTAGAATAAAAAGACACAAGGAAGGTAATTGAGAGATTAATGAAATTGGTTACCTATAGGACATGGAAAAATGAGATAGAAGGAATACCAGGAATTTGGGAAGATAACATTTTTTTAATCTTTACGAAAAAAAAATAGTGTTTGTTTATTTATTTATTTATTTATTTATTTAGTATTAAACATCCTATCATTGAAAATTATTTTTTTTTTACAAATAGTTTATCGTCAAATTAGTTTCCACATAACACCCAGTGCTCATCTCCACAAGTGCCCTCCTCCATGTCCATCCCTCCTCCCCCCCACATCCATCAGGCCTCAGTTTGTTCTCATCATTCAAGAGTCTCTCATGGTTTGTCTCTCTCCCTCTCCCCCACCATTTTTCCCCTTTTTCTCCCGCATTGTCCTCAGTTAAGTTCCTCCTAATCCTCCTATACGTGCAAACATTTGATATTTGTCCTTCTCTGCCTGACTTACTTCACTAAGCATAACACCCTCAAGGTCCATCCATGTTGCTACACATGGCCAGATTTCATTGTTTCTCATTGCCATGGTAGTATTCCATGGTATAAATAAACCACATCTTCTTGATCC